ATCCTCGCAAATAGATACATATATAAAGACCCAGAATACACATAAACTGATAAGTTAGAGTAAAAACTGGCTGTGTGACATGTGTCTATGTCCCCCTCTCTGTCTGTGAATCAAGCTCAACTCACTTTGCAGTACATGTGTGTCTGTCTTGCACGTCCTCCTCCTCTCTTTTCCTCCAAACAGTTTATCTTTCGCTCTCTAATTTCTCTGTGGTTTTCGGTTTCCTCTAACTTCTTCTTCTTGTCCTGCCTGCCCTCCTCCTCCTCCTCCTCCTCCTCCTCCTCCTCCTCCTTTTCCTCCCAGTCTCTGAGCACTGGCCAGAGGCGTGAGAAGGTTCCAGCTCACTGAGCAGAAACCCTGCAGTCCTCCTCCTCCTCCTCGTCCTCTCTTCAAGAGCCACCCCGTCTTCCTCTCCTCATCCTCCTGTTGTACAGCCAGTAACTGAGGAGGAGAGGAAAGTGAGAACCGAGGAGAGAGAGAGAAACAAAGAAAGGGCAAATACAAGAGATTTGAATGATTTCAAAAATGTCCCATGATACTTTTCTCCACAGGGGCCTTTGACCCTCGCTACTACCTAGAAAGACAAGGGTCATAAGCCAATTGGTAATCCGACTTTTAATGGAAGTTAATATTGTAAGTAACCGCAGCAGCAGTTTTTTGGTGCAGACACGCTGACTTGCACCATCAATGGGTAAGAAAAACAGCTGCTGATATTTTGACATCTGCAGGCGTGTGCCATGAGTGTGACACAAAAACATAAGAAGGAAAAAGACTGCTTTATCTCGTTGTGTGGTTTAACATTATGTTTCAGTAGAAATGTAATGCCTCCAAAATGAGGTTCTTCATCAAAAATAATGAAGAAATGTTTGTAAAGGACCTGTGTGTAGGATTTAGTGGCATCTAGCAGTGAAGTTGCAGATTGCAACCAACTGACCATCGCTCGTGTCGGTATTTGACAACCTGTGAATGAGAATGGGCTGTCAAGCGTGTAGAAGAAACTGTGGTGGATGCAAAAGTCATGAGAAATGCTAAAGGCCCCATCAAGAGCCAGTGTTTGGTTTGTCCATTCTGGGCTGCTGTAGAAACATGGCAGTTCAATATGGCAGCCTTCACAGAAGAGGACTCGCTGGATACCCTAGATAAGAATGGTTCACTCTAAGGTAATGAACACGCAACAATTTTCCTTTTTTTTTAAATACACTAATGAACATATTTCATGGTTATGTTTAGGAAGCCACAGCACATGGTTAAGATTGTAACCACATCAGTCCTGCGATGTGATTTCATGCCGCACATGATGAAAGTAGTTATCTACACAATTACACAATGAAAAAATTACGAAAAAAAAAAAAAACTATTGTAGGACAAAATGACAAAAATGACCATTATCTTGTTTTGTAGATACATTTTTTGAGTGATCACACTCAGGGATAATGATAGTGACAAATACATTGCATTTCCTGTGGCGTCTTCACAGTAAAAGTTTAATACTTTTCATGTGAACCAGCAGCAGTAACAGCTCTGGCATGGTGTAAAGAGTAAACAGTGACGCCAATATCAATAAGATGAAATTATGCTGTATTATAGGTATATGTTTAGGTAAGCAATCTGCCACTACCACTCATACTGTGTGCTGTATGTGCAACAGAAGCATAGATTCTAACTTTATGGTTAGTAAAATATTATGGTATTGGTTATTTATTAATTTAAAGCACTAGATACAATGAATTACTTTATTAACAAGTAGAACGTAGAACTTCCTCAACACAACACAGACACTCCTCAAATCATCATTTGGTAACACATATTAGTTCTTTATAAACGTCATTTCTAGGAGACAGGGTTGCCCTGGTCCGTGGCTGCCTTGTTTTTCTCTTCCCTCTCTCTTTCCCCCAACTCCATCTTTTATCCTCGTCTCTTCTCCCTTTCCACCACCTCTTTCTATCATCCTCACTCTCACACATTCATTTGTTGCCTCCATCAATGCCTCTCTTCCTTCTGTCTTTCCCACTTCTCATCCTTTCCTCCCTTATCTCCCCACTCTCCTACCACAGTCTCTCTCACCTCTTCCTTCTTCCTCTCATTTTCCTCCCTCCTCTCCTCCTGTGCTGTCACTCCTCCTCCCTCCTTTCTCCAGCTTCCCTCCCTCCCTCCTGTCCCTCACCAGAGGTGAAACGCTGTACTTCTCTTCCTGAAGTCATTTCTATGTTAATGAGTCTCCTTGTGAGATAACGCAGGCAGCAAAGGCCTCGGACACACACACACACACACACACACACACACACACACACACACACACACACACACACACACACACACTGGCAGAGCAAGTGAGAAGGATGATAGGACCTGTCACTGCATTCTCTGTTGATCTGTTCATGCAATTATTTAATTATTAACTGTAATCCGTCTTTCTCCCTCTCTCTTCACTTTTCTCCCTCTCTGTTTGTTTATGATCGCTTTAATTCCTCTGTTTCCTCCCTGTTTATTTTGTAGTCCGTCCAACAACCACCAATTCTATCAGCTAAGCAGCCAGTCGCTCTGTCAGTCAGCGCATCACCCACTCCATCTTTAAGTCACTTACAGCCTGACAGTCAGTCAGTAAATCAGTCAGTCAGTCATTTATGGCACTTAAATGCTGAACCAGATTGACACCAACATACGTTTAACTAAGGATCATTGTCCACTTGTCTGTCTTTTGTCACCTCGATAAACATGCACAGACGGACAGACAGAAAGAGAGAAAGAAATGTCTGTTTCTTCTACGTGTGCGTGGGTGTGTTCATTCAGCACAAACATGCACACTGGATATCACAGAGCGCACAGAGCCACCTACTCATTGATCCTCATTGATTAATGAATATGGGTCTGCATGCTCAGACAGAAAGAAAGAAAGAAAAAACTGGCAGTAAATAACATATCCAGCAATTAGAGAGGGAGGATACATGCTTTTATTTATCCCTGCAGCCCTTTCATCCTGTCATTTGTATTGGTCTCCAGTGACGAAGATGGGCTTCCATTCATTGCTGTTTAAACAGGCAATACAATAAGCTTTAAAAGAGTCAGATCTGTTCATCCGCCTGCGGCACACACACACACACACACACAAACACACACACGCACAATACACTTACACATGTTCATATGTGCACACACTTGCACACAACAGAGTCATGTGAACACAGACATAAGCAGACACAGGCCTACAGTAGGCCTACATGCACACACACTTGTGCATCCCCATGCACACGCGCACACACACGCGCGCGCGCGCCACACACACACACACACACACACACACACACACACACGCACTCCCGTGTGTTAAGTGAACTGTGAAGCTCAGACCGCCTTGTGTGGAAGCCTCGCTGGAGTGGAATCATTAAAAACGGTCCGTGGCTCTTTAAGTGGCGTCTCTGCTTCTCTCCCGGGCGCGATTCTTCATGCATCGCTTGCCAATCTCTCTCTCTCTCTCTCTTTCTTTCTATCTGCCTCTCTCTCTCTTTTACTCTCTCTTCTAACTAATCAGTGCGGTGCAGAGGCTGCTGGCGCCGCGCAGGCGGAGGAGAGAGGCAAACAGAGGGGAGAATAACGCTAGCTTCGAGTCAGCACCAAGGACAGCGCCACAGCGCGTTGAGTCGTACCTTCAGCACCATGGACAGCTCAACGGACGCGGCAGAAGCTCCCAACGCGTCTGCGGCAACCGGCACGGCGCGGCACTGCGCGGCACTGCGCGGCACTGCCTACAGAACCTGAAAGCTGCATTTAAGATATTGGAAGCGGTTGGTCTGTGAACAAAATGACTGTTTTTATAACACTCTTGTGTAGATACAGTTCAATATCTAATGAGTTTGAGCACTTTCTAGCTCATATTACCCTTCCTGACTACAGACACATACAGATGTGCCTCTGATAATACCCCCACTAAAAAGAAGTAACCCGTCTTTCACTGAAACTCAAAAATACCCTCTCCTCTCTGGTCTGGAGCCCCCCATGCTTTATACTGACGGCGTTGCGGCGGTGGGCGGGACATACGGCGGTGACTGTACGTGATTAGCTCCTGAAGGGCGCTGTCACTCACGAGCCCAATCCGGCCTCAGGCGGAGTTTGAGGAGACGCGCGGTTAGTTTTAGTTTGTGTTGGTTGGACCGAGAGGAGGAGGAGGAGGAGGAAGACGAAGAAGAGAGGAGGAGGAGGAGGAGGAGGCGACGGCTGTCATTTTTTTCATTTGTACCAACGGGCACGTTTCTCGGGAGCAAACCCAGGCGGGTGTAGCTGTCCTACAGGCTCCGTCAGCAGGCGTCTTATCGGACGGTCTGTCCCGGTTGTGGTTGAACTTCGGCGGTGAGGGAGAGCGAAAGGTGGCCGTTTTTGGAGGAGACATTTGATGAATCCCGTCTTGGTCTGATTTTTGGTGCCTATTTAAATCGCGTTCAACTTAAATACCCGCGCTGCGTGTCTCTCCACTGCAGATAATCTGTGAGAAGAAGAAAAAATACATATGTTTGTATTAGCGGCTGCGTGTTTGGACGAGTTTCTGTAGCGTGTACCGTGGACACCGAGGAGGAGGGGAAAACATGTCAATGAGTCAACAGCTGGAGTGGAAAACACACGACGGATCTCGGTCACCGTCAACTCTCTCTTCATAGAGCTGACGTATGGGCTTTATTCATCCGTCCATTTCATTCAGTAATTCAACAGGACACAGAGAGAGACAGAATAAATCCACCGAACCGCCTCATATTTTTGGCGCTGCTGTTTTGGGAGACTGTCGACAGAGGAGACCCTTCACCGGGCAAGAAATCCAGCGGTGAGTGAGGGGCGAGCCGCCTGAACAGTGATGTTTTAGCGGAGACACATTAGAAAGCCCTCTCCATTGACTAATGCTGTGCGGTTACATCAGTGAAGAAAACAAACTAACCCCCCCTTTTTGTTGTTATTTTAAAGATGGAGTCCCCCCACGCACACCTTGGCTGTTAACAGATTGATAAAAAGGGGGGGGGCTGCTTTTGGAAGAAGAAGAAAAAAAAGCAGAAGTTGAGAAGAGAGGGAGGGAAGGAAATAAGGGAGGAAGGACGGAAGGAAGGAAGGAAAGGGGATATAGGGAAGAAGAAGAGGAGGGAGGAGAGAAGATCCTCCGCTCACTGGTGGATAACGCGGCTCTAACGCAGCTCGCCCTGCCTAACCCCGGGTCTAACAAACCGGGGAAGGAGAGGAAGGAGAGGTAGAATGTGGCATCGCCGTTACCCGCCACTCTGACTGGGTGAGGGCAGTGTCGGGTAGTCGGGGACAACCGGTGGTCGTTTAAACCCCCGGTGTGTGTGTGGGTGTGTGTGTGCGTGTGTGTGTGTGTGTGTGCGCGCGCGTGTGTGTATGAGGGTGGTGTTGGTGAAAACCGGTTTTTGATGCGCGAGAAAGTGACGTGCCGCCCTCCCACCTTCCCGCCCTTTGCCACGAGCCGCTTGTCAACTCAACGGACAAGGCAGCCAAGTACTTCATTTCTCGTTCCACACTTATAAAATCACCACATTTTACCCACATTTCTATATTTTTGTCCATTTTTCCGAGTGCCTGTCTGATGAACCCCTCACCCTGACTCTCCAAGTCTCGCGGGATATAAAGGAAATAAAAGGGTGAATCTAAAAGAGAGGAGGGAAGAAGAAGAGAAAAAGATTAAGACAAACAGGAGCCGCCTATATGAAGATGCTGATGTGTGACCGCGGCGTCCAGATGCTCGTGACGACGGTGGGCGCGTTCGCCGCCTTCAGCCTCATGACCATCGCCGTCGGTACCGACTACTGGCTGTACTCGCGCGGGGTCTGCCGCGTGAAGAGCAGCGGCGACAACGACACGAGCCGCAAGAACGAGGAGGTGATGACGCACTCCGGCCTCTGGCGAACCTGCTGTCTGGAAGGTACGTGATCAGTCTGACTGACTGGCTGTCTGTCTCTCTGCCTCTGTTTCTGTGTGTGTATGTGTGCGTGCATAAACATCTCTCTCTCTCTCTCTCTCTCTCTCTCTCTCTCTCTCTCTGTGTGTGTGTGTGTTTGTGTGTGTGTTTGTGTAGCTGTCTGTATTCTCTCTGTCTGCCTTTTCCTAGTGTGTATCCATGTGTGTGTTAGTCTTTCTCTGTCCCTGTCTCCCCACACACACATAAAACACACACACACATCCTGTCTCTCCTACAGTCTGCATTGGTGTACCCAAAATGTGTGTGTGTGTTTTCACAGTGTGACAGCAGCCTATAATCCCTGAAACTCAGTTATCAAGAAGCTGTCCTTTTTCCCGAGTTCACCCATGCATCCCTTCCCCTGCAACATCATAAAATAGAATATTTATTGATCACGCCTAGGATGTGAGTAACAGGCTCAAACGCAGACAGCTGGCAGTGTTATTACCGCTAACAAGCACCTGAATCTGCACACTGTTGCTGGGACTCTTGCACACAGCATTGTTAGGAATTTGTTTCTTTTGGAACCATCTTGTCTCGTTGTTGGGAGACAGAAAATCCAGCTCTGAGCAGCATGGCGTAGCCCAGGTTGGCGCTGGGATCGGGTGTGCGTTTGGTAACCACTACAGCTGATAGAGGCCTTTCCATTTGTGGAAGCACCCACCCAAAATATCACCCTGATTTGTGTCCTAATTCTGGAGACAAGTTTGGTTCTTTCATTTGACTCTACTGGCAGTTCTTTTGGAGCCAGAATCTAGTGGCCATGAGGAGGACTGCATCTTTAGTCACTTCCACATTCATTACAGAGGTGTGGTGGTTGTTGCTTGTTGCCTGCTCCTACAGTCAGCTCCACCTGTAAGAATGTAACATTACTGCCAACTTCATAGTAACTGATGCCAAACACAAGTATATTACTATTGTTTCTGTTGTGAGTCCAGCAGTGTGTAATCTCCTGTCCTTATTTTGCATCTTTGAATTATTTAAGTGAGATAATGTAGAGCATAAAACCCTCCCAAACCCAGGCTGACTCCCTCAACACCTGATGCATTTGGCTTCAGAGACACATCCCTTGTTTGTGGCTTTTGATATCTTGACTACTGTATTGGATCAGCTCTTACCAATCCTTAAAATCCTAACCCTGTGTGTGTGTGTGTGTGTGTGTGTGTGTGTGTGTGTGTGTGTGTGCCAGGGCTGGCTGCATGTCGTCCTCTGTCTCTTTCCACCTTTCCTGTTGCCTTCCTTTAAAAATGCCATTTTAAAATGTGGCCTTTTATGTCAGAGAAAGGTCAAATGACATGTCTCCAACCTGGAGCCAACTTTACTGAAAGCTACAAAACAAAGTTGGAGTTATAGATTGCTCAACTTTGGTGATTCTTGGGTGTATTGATGGCCAGCTTGCTTGTTAACTTTGGATCTGTTTGAGGGTGTGTTTTTTTCCCTCTTTGACCAGCTGTTTCCTTCTGTTGATATTCTTTGTGCTAAACTAGGCTAAACATGTCTTGGATCAGTCTTGATACTGAACACAGTGAGATGGAACTGATATCAATCCTCACATCTAGCTCATTTTAAGACAACAAAGTAAAAGCTTAGCTCACCTGTTTGGTGCCAAAAGTCCAAAAGCTGTAGTAAATATACAATTTTCCTACTGGATGCTTCATAATGACCTGACACATAATTCACTTTAAATTTTTTTACTTTGGTTTCACTTATCATTCAAAAGATACATTGCAGGACCAAGCGTGTGTGTGTGTGTGTGTGTGTGTGTGTGTGTGTGTGTGTGTGTGTGTGTGTGTGTGTGATGCAGCCAGACATAACCATCTCATTCTGGGGGGCATAGAAGGCTATTACAGGGCCAGATGGCGCAGGTATAAGGCTTTATTGAACACACACTCTCATTTACATGCACACACATACACACACACACACACACACACACACACACACACACACACACACACACACACACACACACATATACACACTTGTAATTGAATGAATAAATAGACAAATTCTAGGATATTCCCAAGCCACCAAATAAGCACAGCTGCGGGAGCAGTACGCCAAGTTAACACAATGTCAGCACAATGTCAGTGCATGCACACATGCACAGCATACACACGCACACATAGGCTCACATGCAGCACATGCAGGTGCACATACACTCACTCATACACACACACACACACACACGCACACACGCACACACACACATACACCATAACACAACTAAAGTGAATAAGTTCTCTTATCTCTTCTCTCATTCTGCACATCTTAATCCCCCTTTGCTCATTCCGGGTCCCTGGTTGTCACGGTTTTATAATTCATAAACGCCTCATAAACTGACAGGAAATGGATGTCTCTGACTCGTGTACATGTGGCTTGTACTCTGCCTGACATCAGAGTGAGTGAATGAGAGATAGAACGAGAGGGGGGGTAGAAAAACATCATGTATGCAGTGTTCTTACAGTAAATGTATAGAGCAGTCATGCATACATACGTGCAGCATATAAAGTGCAGCACATTTTACAGTGGAACAGTGTCTCTCACAGACAATATGGGACGAGAGGAAGAAAGCCTTTAGAATCATCCTATTTTATCAAAGCAAATGTTAAGATGGATGAGATAAAGGTGACAAAAAATTGCATTGCGTTTTTTGTTTTCTGTTGTGTGATTGGGCTTCTTGTGTATAGAATATATAGAATATATATATATATATATATATATGATAGCTTAGTATCAGGATATCATCTGGATAAAGACAAAAGCATTAAAGTGGAAGGTCAGGTTCCAATTGTGATTGGATCTGAGGTGTGACTGCAATCTGTACAGTTTGACCACAAAATAATTAACTAATATACATTCTTTCTAGGAAAATATTACAGCAAAACCATATCTATACACAAATTGCATTTTGAATGGGGGGGCAGCAGTTTTGACTGAACCAACACAAATTCATGCATATACACGTATCAGCCATAACATTATGACCACCTGGGCACCCTGACTGGTCTGCCGCTACGCAGCCCCATACCAACAAACTGTGATGTACTGTGTGTTCTGACACCTTTCTATCAGAACCAGCATTAACTGTTTCAGAAGTTGGAGCTACAGTAGCTCATCTGTTGGATCGGACCACATGGGCCAGCCTTCACTCCCCACGTGCATCAATGAACCTTCAAATCCTCACATTGCCCATTTTCCTGCTTCTAACACATCAACTTTGAGGGCAAAATGTTCACTTGCTGCCTGATATATCCCACCTACTGATAGGAGCCACGATAACCAGATAATCAGTGTTATTCACTTCAGCTGTCAGTGCTCATAATGTTATGGCTGATTGGTGTAAATCACAGCACTCTGACATGATGTCAGCCAAAAAGTATGACAACAAGAAAATAATTAAGACCCCTACTTTAATGATCGTTTTAATAAACCATCCATGCAGGATATAAACTACAGCACCGGGAAAAGGCTGCTGAAATTTTACCAAAAAAAGAAAATAAAGACTTGTGCTTTAATGGTTGTCTTAATGAACAGGCATAGCAGCACCTTTAACAGTGCAAAACAATGTTTCTACAGGCCTACAACGTCGCCACAGGATGCAAATAACCACAATATTACGTTGTCTCTGAATGGGAGTCCTATTTGGCCAAAGAATTGAACGGGATGGTGTGTAACATGAGAAATGAAAGACTAAAAATATTGTATACTTCAAGCATAGCAACACTCTTACTTCCCGTGGCTATGCCAGCATTGCAACCTACCCAACCGCCAGTCTGAAACACACATGCCGTGACTAACTTCTCCTCTAATTAGCAGATTTATGCGTTAAAATAAATACGACTCCAAAATGTACCAAAACTTACACAGTCACTGAAGCCAAATATTTTACAGGCATTTGTAATGTCTTGTTCTCCAGATATAGATCACTTGTTAATACCAAGTGCAAATGGGGTCTATGTTACTGTAAGTGCGATTTAATGTGCCCTTTCTTCATGATAGTATCTTTGTGGCTCCTCTACCCATTGACAATTCGTATATGCTGAGATTTCTGGCATGCAGTTAATGTGTTGTTGTGTGTCTGTGCAGGTGTACTGAGGTGTTAGGTTCCCTCTGTGATAAATGAGCACGAGAAAGCCAGGAAATGAGGAGAGAAGGAAGGAAGGGGGGAGGTAGAGGATTGGAGACAGAGCATGAATGAAGAGAGACCGGAATGTGTATGAATGAAGGAGGGGAGAGGGGTAGAAAGTGATGGATGAGCTCTGCATGGCCTCTGTTTCAGGTGAATCTCTGGGGAGTGTTTGACCACGCTGGGGATCTAAATGATCACCTGGTAATAGACAGAAGGAACAGGGTTTTAAACAGAGACGGGGACAAAAATGATCACCCAGGTGGCTGCGGGAGGAAGGGGAGAGTGAAAGAGGTGGGGGAAGAAATGGAGAGAAAAAGGAGGGGGTGGGGGAGGAGAGTATTTGGAAGAGTTTGGAAGAAAAAGAAAAAGAACTGGAAGAGAATACAAATACACCATATGGCCAAAAAATATGAGGACCCTTTTACTGCATACCTGTGTGTGCGTATTTCATGGTTCGGGCTATATCCCTTAGTTACAGTTATTTATTTTTAATTATTATTATTATTATATGGTTACAAAACAAGTGGAAACAAGTACAGGGACACTTAAACAGCCAAGAGATTGTAAAAAACGTAAGACAGAAAGGACTAGGAATAAGGAGGGGTGGGTCAATGAGGCCTGGTAATATAGGATGTGTATATACACACACACATAATACATATACATAATTATACATATACCTATATTCTACATCTTTCCTTCATTTAAGAGTGAGAAAAACAAAAAAGAAATTAAACCTACAGTAGAATAGAATAAAACAATAGCCAATTTATTAAGGGCTTGATAAGCTTGTTTTAATTGTGTGTGTGTGTGTGTGTGTGTGTGTGTGTGT